ATCCCCGACAAGATTCTGTCACCTCTCCAGATGGCATCTCTAAGCCCTTCTCCAGCCAGATTCCACCATCTCCAAATGGCATCTTTAAGCCCATTCCCGCATCCATGTCTTGATGAGTGCAAATTTACGGGCACTCTAGTGTCCAATCCCCTTTTACCTTCGAGTCGCGAAAGGCAAACTTGTCAATCTAACTCTTCAGGTTCAAGAAGATTGAACAGGGGAAACTGTTGTACCCTAAAATGTGCCCTCTCATTTCATCAACACTTTCTCATCACAAGACTCTTGAAACTCAAGATCAAGCTAGGGTTTGTTCTGATCAAGACCCCTCATTGCATTGTTGACCTAAATTAGGGTTTGAGTTTGCACAGGGATGTTTTAACCTAAAATGCCCAAAGTGACTTTCATACTTCATGTTGGACTCACAAGTTTGCTCATACCAAGTTTCAAGCCTTGATTCAAATTTTTGCCCAATCAATTAGACAGTGGACCTAGAAATCAGCTGTATTGGGGAAAAAGCCAATTGTGGGCAATTGACAATCAAACCTCATAAAATTTGACCCACGTCAACATTATGAACTCATATGAATCATTTGACCAAATTTGGACCATAATTCCACAAGAAATTTGATCAGATCACCAAAAGGGCAAAATGGTCATTTTTAGGGTTTTGACTACACAAAGGCAATTTTTGACTGTTTGACCTAGCCAATGGCAAATCAAGCTCACACATGGACTCAAGGACTCAATGACATTGTCTTTACCCATTCAACAAGTTCAAAAGATCTCAAATGCATAGGATTGACAGATGAATTTTTCAGTCAACTGATCAAAATTTGACTGTACACTGAAAAGTCAAACTTTGACTTTTTGGTCAAAATCAAGTGCCAAGGGTCATTTTTCATCAAGACATGTCAAATTATGAAACTTGTTCATCAAGAAACCCAAAAATGCAAATTAGGGTTTAAGATGGAAAAATTTCATAACTTAGAAATTTTCTAAGTTATGAAATTTTCTTATTTTTTTCCTAACTTTGTCCCATTTTTTCATCAAGATGAAAATGGATTCAAACAAAACTTGAAACATGAAAGTTGTAGTCCATTGCAAAGTCTACAACTTTTATTCGTAAAGTTTTCTCAAAGGAAGCTTGCATCTCAAGTTATGATTTTTGGAACAAGGGTACCAAAAACTTTTAACTTAGAAGAAATTTGCCCTAATCTAGGCAGAATTTTGACCCATCTTCTTGGCCATTTTTCACATAGTTCCACTTGGAGTTTAAAGTTGCATTACAAAGATGGATTGTATTACATGTTCCAAGATTTGCAAATTGTCCAAGAACTCCTCAAACACCCTTGTGGTTAGAGAGAATCGAATTCACAAAGTTGGCAAAAACTCACTTTTGTTCATGGCCAAGGCATGTTCATAGCAACTTGCATTTTCAAATCAGTTTGTGTAATGCTAGCTTGCAGGCCTCAAAACCAAGCTTACACTCCATAATTTAATGCCTAACCATTGTGTTAAGGTTTTATTTCATCCATTTGGACATTGCACACAAAACTAACCCTTAATTAGAAAAAGGTATAATGCCATTTTGGTAAAGTTACACTTTATGTCAAAACATGATCTTTGAGCATAGGGGGGCATATCTCTGAAGCCAAATCAAATCCAAATTGCAAGTATCAAGGGCAAGATATGCAGCAGACAATATAGAGGGTACAAGCCTGTATTCAACACTTACACTTTCTTGCTTCAAGTAGAAGAAACATTGCAAAACACATACCAACTCTCATTCCTGTTGACACAAGCAAAAGCAAACTTTGTGAACAAGTTCCACACATCAAAACAGACCTAAGGCACGACCCTTCCATCCCTCATACCTCCTAATACACCAAATCACTGTTTTGCTGCAAAAACGGGGCACTCCCTGCTGATTGAAGTCCACAACTCAAATTGCTCGTGCATTTTTGCTAAAACCTGTTCAAACACCTTCCATACCATCCACCTAAACTATCTCAAACCTTAAGCACCAGCTGTAACACCTCTAACCCCATTTTCCATTTTCATTTCAAAGTTTTGCAGGTGGACTTCTACAGCACGATACAAGGTGTTTCAAAGCAAGCCAAGTATTGGAGAAGCATCCTTGGACCTCAGGCAAGCTCAACAGAAGCTCAAACACCATTGAAGGTTGCTACATTGCCATACTCGTGTCCAACTGAACAAGGTATTTGTCAAGTTTCTAACTCCTTATTTATGCATCCTTAAGCTTAGGTTTGTGAAGCAAAAATGTAGTCTTTAACATGCTTGAGCTGTACATATGCTTAGATTCCATTTATATTAACTGAGCTAGGAGTATTTGATAGTTGAACTTGCTAGAAAAACTAGGTCAGAAATTGGGGGTGATAAAATTCTCCCTGATTTCTTAGAGTTAGGTCAAGTGTTTTATATGGTTGAAATCGTTGCTTCAAGCTCTATAATTTCATGTTTTAAGTTTTGTCAAAAGATCAAAGAATCAGGAGTTGGCATGTTGTACAAGAGGCGCGCGAAATTTCAAACAGAAGCTGGAGGTTGAAGAAGGTGATGGCTTGGGCTGGGCCTGAGTCATCCTTGCTTTTTGCACCCTTTTTTTCAATTTGCACCCCCTGGCCCATTTGATTAAATACTTGTCATTTTTATGTTTTTCCTTTTTATTCTGACTTTATATTTTTTGTTCAAACATAAAAAAATACCAAAAATAATTTTCCATAATATTTCATATTTATTTGATATTTATTTCATTTTATTAGCATATTATGTAAATAATATAAATCCTTTTTATTAAAACCCTAAAAAAATAATATAAAAAATATATTTATTTTTCAGTTATTATTTTTATTTACATTTTGAAAACATTTCTTGAATATACATTTTTTATATAAATAATTATTTTTATCTTTTTATATTTAATAGGTTTAGTAAATATATATATATATATATATATATATATATATATATATATATATATATATATATATATATATATATATATATATATATATATATATATATATATATATATATATATATATATATATATATATATATATATATATATATATATATATATATATATATATATATATATATATATATATATATATATATATATATATATATATATATATATATATATATATATATATATATATATATATATATATATATATATATATATATATATATATATATATATATATATATATATATATATATATATATATATATATATATATATATATATATATATATATATATATATATATATATATATATATATATATATATATATATATATATATATATATATATATATATACTTGTATATTTTTTTTATTATTAGATAATTAGGACAAAAATATAGAAATAATACATTTTTATTTTTTGACACTAAAAATACTTTTTCTTGACAATATACTTTTATTTTTGTATAAATTAATATATATTGTATATAATTAATAAATATTCCCATTTATTTGAAAATTAGGGTTTTGCCCTAAATGACCAAAATAATTAAATTTGACTTTTTTTATTTTGTTTATATTTCACATTAAAAATACCCTTTTCACATACATAAAAAAATCATTTTATGCATAATACATTTTTATTTATTTATTGTATTTGTTTCAAATATTGCACAATTAAATATTGTATCCTATACATTCGATATGGTTGTAATAACTTAGATTTTATTTCCTTGTCAAAAATCCCCAATTCAAATTTGTATCCCCCTTCCCATAATCATGTTGTAATAGCCTAGAACTTTAAATTCTCGCACATTTAAAAGCTTTCAATTATGCCATGCTTAGACCTAGGGTTTGTATGCAAAATAAAATCAACAACTAGCTTGACCTAATCCAAGATAAACATGCATGAAAAACAAACACAATGCACACTTACACCCCTAGGGTTTCATCCACTTGTTGCCTTCAAAAATGGGCCATGGTTGCATGTTAAGTACTTTGGCAAAACAAAAACAAACAAAAAGATCATAGTCCATCGATGACGCTATCTTGGTTGCCTAAAAAATGATCAAGTCCCTTAAGAAAATTGCCAAAGATACTTGACATTATTGCTTTCATGGTCTATACGATGACCCGCGCCCGTCCCGTTAACATCCTAACACAAGGTTGTTCACCAAATACAATGGTGAAACAACACTGTTAAAAGGGTTAAAAACATAAGAAAGATCTTTGAGTAAATTAGGGTAGATAGCTCTTAGTTACTTGATCAAACTTGCAAAACATCCTTGCCATTTTTCAAAACACACATCACAACACCACTTCAAAACAAACTTTCAAAAACATTGAAACATCTTTTCAAAAAGACAAACACCTTTGTAAAACATTCAAACAAGAATTGTTACAAAGGTTGCCTAGACAAGGCATCTTTTTCAAAACATTTTCAAAACCACACACACAAAGCACCATTTCAAACAATTGAAAAGCAAAGGCAAGTGATCTAAAATAAGTAACTAAGAGCCCATAGAAAACCATGGATGAAAAGGGTGCTAGCACCTTCCCTTTTCATAATCTACCCCGCGAACCCACGAAAACATCTCAAAGGTCTTTCCTGTGCTTTTTGACCTTTCCTTAGGATAAAATAAAAAGTCGGTGGCGACTCTTGCTAAACCGAACATTTGCGAACACAAACGCAAAACCCAAGTCAGTTCTCCCACCGTATCACAAGTATATATTTAGAACATAATTGACACTCTCACTACATCAGTGACAGTTGCTTCTTAATGTTATATCGTTGTCGCTATCACTTTGCGCTATATGACAATACTAAATAGATCTAGTATGAATCTAAATGTACTATTTGTTGAAATAAATAACTCAATTTAAATAAAAGTTTCCTCATTTATTTCTTATCATAGAAAAAGGTTCCATAAACATTTCCTAAGAACAAACAAAACACACAAACAAAGACACGTAATCATCTAAACGAAATACAAATTAAAGCGGCATTTAAATGTCTTGTTCCATAATTATTCTGACTCTCATTGGAAGACCATAAAACCTTATAAACCCAACGGCATCAGCTTGGTTATATATCTCTCCGCTCTCAAACGAAACGATATCTTCCTTATACGACCTATAAGGACTCTTCCTTTCTGTCACAAAAAAGCATTACCCTTATAGAGTTTCAAAGTCACTGAATATGTTATAGTCGCTGAGATCTTCTCCATGAATGCATCCAATGATTTGCAAAGTGGATCGAACCACTTTCCAGCATACACCAGCTCTGCATATTTAAGTGCTAGCGTGTCTTTAAGCTGAAGTGTTTCGCGATCAAGAGTTAAACTCTCTAAGTCTCTTGCTGTAGTGAAGAGAATGGTACCGACACGGGAATGTCCAACTCATTTCAATTTATACTGCATGTTCTAAATATGTGCTATATATAAAAATCGTTTGAAATTAACAAATAAGTTTGCATAACCCAGTGATAAAGACGTTGAAATTTAAAGAGAAGTGACAAAGGTTCGAGTCTCATATAAGATAATTATTTAAGAATTTTATATTTTTGAATTTTAAACATTTAACATCAAAATAATAAATACTTTATTATTTGAAATAAAAAAAAATAACTACACAGAAAAATCAAAATTACAATTAATAATTCAAATAAAATAAAAATTGAAATACCAAAGTTACATTTAAACTTTCTTCTTCTTCTTTTTCTAATATTAAAGCGTGGTTTGTTAATTATTTAAAAATGTTAAAATATAAAAGAGGAAAAAGTCTCTGCTTTCGACTATTTCCGGTTCTGCCTCTCCGCCGTCTTCCATTCGCATTCGCCATTTGCCTCTTTGCCGGAGTCAGATCAGTAAGTGTCTGTCCTTTTCCCCCAAAATCTTATATCTTAGCTTAGCATCAATCTTTAACTTTGTTGATTGGAATGAGAACAAAATCTGGTGAAAGAGAATCATGGTTGAAACTTGTTATAGATTGGTCACTCTCATGGATCTGTTATGAATAACTTGTTAGCAGATTAATTTTAGGATTATGAATAGCTTTGTTGATTGGAATAAGACTGATAAGTTATGAATAGCTTTGTTGATTGGAATAAGACTGATAATTTGTGAATAGCTTGTACCATCTCCAATCCTATAACACATATCTGAAACTCTTCCCTCATGGATTGTTGTTTTTGATGCACTTTGATGTATTTTCTGACTATAATATTGAATTTGTCATGTGGTCCTGGTCTTGGAGAAGATAATGGTCCTGGTAAAAAATAAGAGAGGGTATATTTTGGTATTATCAAAATATATGGGGTGTAAGAACCATCTTTAGGGTGCATGTAGATTCTTTTTCAATGCCCCTTACCACCAAAGCTCGCTAAACTAATGATCTTGCAACACCAGGAACGAAGGTTTAATCTATAATCGAATGACACAAAGATTACGGGCCGACGGCAGCGGAGACAGAAAGATGAGCTAACTATTACACAACCTGATGATTTCCATCTCCATCTTCGTGACAGTGCTCTTCTTGAAGCTGTAGCCTGCCCCCTCACAGTGCTAAACATTTTGGAAGAGCTATAGTCATGCCCAATTTGAAACCACCTACACCACCACATCTCCCCTATATCTTACCGAGAATCAATTTTAAAGCAATACCTAAAACTTCCAATTTCAATCCTCTCATGACACTTTACCTCACTGATACTACAACTCCTCGTGAGATTCAAATCGCAAGTGAGTCTTATCACTGCCTCACAAGTTTAACAACTTTTGCCCTGAATTGTTAATTTAATTTTTCTGTCTATTATCAAGATTATTTCTTGTGTGTATGATGTTTTATTATAATTACTTGTTAATATTTGATGCTGGTGCTACTTGTATTGACACACACACACATATATATATATATATATA